TTACTGACTGACAGTAACTATCTGTGCCAGTGCTTCCTCTGTGTCTCTGGTCTCTGCCTGCAGAGTTTTTTTGGAACAGTACCTGCCCACATGAAATGCTGAGCTCAGCCGTGGAGGCTGTTAACTGGACCCTCGGTGTGTGGCGAGGTGGGAACGTGCTTGAATTGGTAGGACAAAGGAGGAAAGTGGAAATACCCCGTGTGGGGTTCTGGGGGCTTGATGAGAGGGTTGGGGCGGGGAATGTAGGTATATGCCTTGTTCTGCACTCGTATGCAGGCTGGTCTGGTCACGTCTCTGTGCCTGGTGACACTGTTGGCACTCAAACAATGGGGGCTGAGAGTCTTTGTCTTTGGGTAAATCCAGGTGCTGTACATAACCAAATGCAATTTTTCAGGGTGTGGCAGTGGTCATGTACAGCTTGACACCCACTGCTTTTTAGTTTTTAGCATTCCCACATAAAAAGACATCCTAAAGACTTGGAATATTTCAGAAACAATTAATTGAAGTGTGGAAATTTTGTCTACTTAAGAATAACAATGAGAGAAAAGTAAATGATGGTGAAAAGAATAACACCACAAGAAGCTTTGGAGTGTATTCCCACTGATGGACAATTTAGCTTTTGCAGCAGCTTTACACGGATCACTTAAGTTTAGTAGATGAAAAGCAAATTTAAGTCCCTCGAGTCCTCACTAATTAGACCACAATGAGTAGCTATGGAAATGTCAATGCAAAATGTGATTGTGATACAGCATTACTACTGAGACATCTTTTGTATGCAAATTGAGACATTTGCATTTATGGTTACCAAAACAACTGTAGCACTGCCCCTTTCTGAAAGGGTGTAGTGTTGTTTGTATGCAAACAACAAAATCTGGATGCTATAGGTGAAGCTTATAGGTGAACTGTTGTGGTGAACTCATAGTTTGGTGTTTTGGTTGTTTGTTTTTTTTTTTTTTGAAGCTCAGGAAGACTGTGGGAAAGGTGTGCTCTCAGGTGCTTGTTACTGCTGACCTTGCTCTTTTGAGCACTCTCAACGCCATTCCAGCCAGTGAAAGATGCTTATTGATTTAGATAAGAATGCAGGATCTAATCCTGAGTAATTTTTTAAAAAATGCTATGCTGGACAGATGTGTTTTGACTTGATATATCTATCTGTCTGTATATATTGACTTGATCAAGAACAGACTGACAAAACAGAACTGACAAAAGTCAACCTGAAGTAAACTGTTACAAATGAAATGAAAACTCACATTATTTCAGTTATACAAACAAATTAAACAAAACCATTGAGCATAGTAAATACTAAGAGTTGGATGCAGAAAGGATATGCTGAGGTAATTAATTAAATTCTGGGTGTTTCCTTATTCCTTTTTGCACATCTAGGGTGAGTGAAGCAACTGTTTGGGGACAACAGAATTTATTTTGCTCAGAGGCAGAGAATTTCTGCTAACGCTTGTTTATTGTGGAATTTATTTTGCTCAGAGGCAGAGAAGAATTTCTGCTAACGCTTGTTTATTGCAGTCTTGCATTCCACGTTAATCCCCTTCTGTCTTCATCACTCTCCACCTCTTCAGTTCCTTCTCCATCTTTCAGCTCTTGCAGCCTTTTCTTCGTTTTTAAAGGCTTCTGTTGTAGGATCTCTGTGTACCATTATGTAGTAGGAAATTCTCACCCTTGGAAATCATTAAAAGTATACTGTTTGCAGAGCACTCTTCTTTGATGATTTATGCAGCAGAGGAGATTGGCCGTGTCATTCCATGCTGCAGGATGATTCCAGGAGTATGTTAGTGCCATTAGGCAATAAAAAGTTTTATAGACATTGAGCAGTCTTTCACAAGCAAGTCTTTCTGTCAAATTACAACAGAACCTGGCTCCTAGAATGTGAAAGACTAATTTGCAAAGAAATAAAAACGTGCTTTGAACAAAGCAAAGGTAGTGAGGCTTTAAACTTACCCTTGTAATTCAAGCTGTAAAATTTTATGGATTTGATTCAAACTGCTGGAAGAAAATGTGCTTAATCTGGAGTGTGTTTCCTCATAAATGTTACCAGTATCAGGGCCAGACCTCAGGATGTCACTTAGTATGTTGTTCCAGTGATTTCCTGGTAGCAGGATCCTCAGATGCCTAGTCTGACAGATGCTTTTGAGTAGAATCCGTTCTGATCTAGGTTCCTATAGGCTGTGATCAAGTTACCTCTTTATTTTGTTTACCTAAGAGAGAATTACTACCTGCATTGTTCTGTAGTGAAAATGGCTGAAGCTTGTTTCCTGCTTTTTAGGTAGCATTTTTTCTTTTTAAAAAAGAAAGGTTCCATTTTAGACTTCTCCCCAGCTGTGTATGCAGACATCTGTGGAACTGACAGATGTAATTATTGTTTTGTTGTACATTGTGGCTTAGGCATGCGGAGTGTTTGGCGATTGCCCCCATGCAGTAAGCTAGTCGTGCAGTAAGCCCGTGAGTGAGTGATCCCCTTCCCTTTTGCCAAACAGTGCTGAGGGCTCCTTATTTGCGCTGGTCTGAGCCAGTTTTCTCTGAGGTGATCTGGCTGTCCTTACTCTCTGTAGTATGTGGAGGAATCCTGGAGTTTCCACACGGTCTGCTGGCTTTGTCACGCTCTCCTCTGCAGCTTTGCAGTGTCCTCTAATTGCTGCTTGTTTCATGTGCCACGTGTGACCGTGCTGGCAGGCTCTGTGAACTGGGGACACTCCTGTGCCTGCTGGCAACATGATCTCTGTGGATACCTGTCATCTGTTGGTATGAAGGTACTGGGTCCCAGGTAATGTTAAGGGGAGCTTAGTTGTCTTGACTGTATAGTGTGTCAGGAAGGATGTGTGTCGTACCTTGGAGTATAAAGTAATGGTGCAAATCCTGCTGGACTGGCAGTGGACGTCTCAAGATAGCGCAGTTCAACTTGGTGATCCATAACTGGCATTAGGGTATGGTCCTTATAACAAACTTTGATGCACACCATGCCTTTACCAGTGTGGACTTCACTGATTTTCTGCAAGTCTTAGCTGAGAGCAAAATGGACTTGTAATGCAGATGACTGGGGTGGTGGTGTCATCACCTGGTTTTGCAGTGCTTTCAGATGTGCTAAAAGGTGTTGTTTAAGGTATTTCTGCTTTGTGACAAAGGCCTACAAATGGGTGTGACAGCTCAGAGTCTGTTCAATTAATAAATACAGCTAGGTGGGTAATCTGAGTTTCTTAGTAATATCATAATAACCAAATTACCTCTGTTTGAGGAAAGTGTTGAAATTTTCCACTGGCAAAAACCATTAGGCTGTTTTTTTTCCCCTTTTGTGGGTTGTGACCACTTGCAGGTGACTCTAGAAAGCACGACTTAACTATTGTCTGCTGTTCAAAGGACTTAAGTTGTTGGTGTTGATCTTTATCTCTCCTTCTTCTACCTTGTTCTCAAATGTTTGTGGCTTTTGACCTTCTACTATGTATATAAAATTTGTTACTGAGAAATGCTGCATGACTGTGCAAAGGAAGACTGACTTTGAGTCATCTTCTGAATTAGACATCCCTGACATTTCAGTGTGCTGGAGTTGAGATCTGGAGGTGATGTTCTGTCTCATCAGTTCCTTCATCCTGGTATTTAAAAACATCAGTTTTTTGTCCAAACAAACAGTGTTTTGAAGTGGCAGTACAGGCTAGTTCAAGTGGGTCATATCGCCATATAAAATGAAAGGAAGTGGAGTGGAAAAAAGAATGTGGAAAATTCTCCCTAGATAAAAGCCTACCCTTAGCTCTAGGGTTTTGTGTGTTGGTTTTGTTGTGGTGGGTTTGTTTTTTTTTTTTCCGCAAGTTCTTGTGACAGAACTCTTGGCAAGAAAAGAGAAAAGTGTGAACAGTTTTGCAGTGGAGAGCAGAGGGTTAAGCACCAAGATCAATGGGAATGAGTAGGGCTGAAATCTTCCACTGAGGAGGATCGGGCTGCACCCTTCCATGGTTGTAGTTGGCTGATCAAAGGAGTGCTGCTTCTGCAGGTCTGTAAGGCAGGAAAAACCCTTGCCCGTAACCCTCCTTCATTCAGGGCAAAACCAGCAAGCTTATATGATTAGGCTTTGTGTGGCATTTCTACCTTTGCTCAGATCTTTGGTTAATAGCAGCAGCCTGTGGGAAGTTGATGTGCCAGCCCCTCTCTCTTTTTTTTTTTTTTTTTCCAAAATTAGAATTTAAGCATGCTGATAGAAACTTGTGGGAGCTTACAAACAGTAAGCAGTGAGGTTGCTTCTCCTTAGCTAATGATCAGTGACTTGCCCATTTGTGAGGGAGCACAGCGTGCTCCTGCTGGGTTCATGGTGTTCATTGGAGGGGAGGTGCTGCTGTGCACAGAAACTTCCCTTGTGCTGGCAGCCTCTTTGTCCTGGTGTGTGCTAGGCAAAATTTCCCTCACATCCTCTTTGTTGCTTGCTATTGAAGTTGCTGACCACAATGTTGGGGCTTCTGAAGAGGTCAGTGGTAGATTCAGTCCGATGAAGAGACAAGTTTGCTTAACCTCAGGGAAATCAGGGAGTTGATTTGAGATGTGGGCTCTGGTTTTGAGGATGCTTGAAGCCTGCGGCGTAGTGTAGTGCTTGGACATTTTGATTCAGGGATTCTAAACACCCTGAGCATACTGTGTATATTTCCATCCCTCACCCCCTGTCAGGAGTGTAATAATTGCTCAAACAAAATGGTGTTTGACTAAGATCAAACAACAGTGTTTGACAGGGACTGATGTAATTGCAGTTATTAGACTTCAGGCTTATGAAGAATGCAAAGACCTATATCTGGAAAAATGTACGTATTTTTGGAATCATGTCCTGGTGGCACATCTGAAATGAGTATATTCCTGATCACAAGGAGATCAGGAGTGATTCAGTATTTCTGACAAGATAACCAAGAATCATGGTATTCTCTGGGAAACAGAGTAAGTTAACAGTCATTGGCCATCCTCTGAACTTTTTTCCATTCAGAAAAAGTTATGATAATGCTTTTCTTTCTTTTTTACAGCAATGCTGAGTGACAATAACTCTGTGAAGCTGAAAAGTGATTGTTCACCTCCTGTGCAATGGTGTAAGGTGACTGCACATGAAGATGAGAAGACCAAGCTGGTTTTTAAAAGGTACTCGCAAGTAAGTGTCACTGTTGTGGCAGTAAAGGTCAGTTGCTCTCCCTTTAGCCTGGACAGTTACAAAAAGGATGCACAAATCAAGGGATGAGGTTACCAGAGGAACTGAATGGAGGGGTAGGCACACAACTTTCCCAGGACACCTAAAACACTTTAAGGAGCCTTGGCTTTCTTGTTTTCACGAGCCAATGTGAGAACCCAGTACTTCACTCACAAGTATTTCCAGTCTTTTTTTGTGTCCAGATAACTAACAATGTTGAGGCTTTTATACATTCTGATAACTGAAGAAATTGAAGGGCAGTGGATGTTCAGTAGGTGTTTTGGGGGACGTGTCTACTCATAGTTATATTTTGTGTGAAAACTTCCGGAATGCTACATCACAAAATCCTAATTACTCCATTGTTTGTAGTTTAACATCAAATTGGAATTAATGAGTGTGTGCTAGTGTACATCCACAACCATATTTTAAACCAGAAAAGCTCACTACTGTGATGCCTCTCTGCCACATGAATTTTTAGGTCTTAAAGCTTAAAAAACCCAAAGCCAAACTGTTATATCCACTGGTGTTTTGAGCACCTGAATCACGGTGCAGCCTCAACTCTATGTAGAGATACTTGATGAAACTCTGTGGAGCAAAATTAGCTGCATTCATCTGCTGTGAATCACCTGTTTCTGCCAGTCAGCTAATTGCCAGGGGTTGCAGCCTAACATGCTAATGAAAGTTTTAGATTCCTTATCAATGCAAAATTTAATTTAGTTAAATTGGATGCAAGAACAGTGCTGTTTTTCCAGTGGCCACCTTATTTGCAGCACATACTGCAAATTAAGTGCCAGGATTGCATTTATTAGCCCATATGATACAAGCTTTTTTTTTTTTTTTAAAAAAAACCAAAACAAACAAAACAAACCTTGAAAATCTGTATTAACTTCATCTGAGTTTCAAGAAGTGCTGAACACTTAGTAGCCTGTATTTTTTTTTTTTTAAAGACACTTAAACAAACGTCTGGTCCTTATGAAACCATAGGAAATGAAAAACTATGCTTGAGCAACAACCACAACTCTAACCGAATAACGATGTAACTTTTGCAAATTGTTTTAGACATGAAATAAGCCAAGTGAATATTTGGAGATCAGCAGTGAGATTCTTTAGGAATGAGAAAGGAGTAGATCAAAAATATGGATACTCTATATTACTCGATTTTAAGGGTGTTTTTTTTTTTCTTCTGCATGTTTTGGGGATGTAAATAATTAGATTAAGCTTCTCAAGACAAATCTGAGCATCTCTCGGCGAGTTGAAAGTTTTGCTTGTGAGTGATGGCCATTGACCCAAATCTTGAAACTTGAAGTTCCATCCCTTTTTTAACTTGCACAAAAATACAGATTTCAAAATAAATTTACCCTTTAAAGTAGGAGAACAAAAGCCACTTTTGGTTTCTTTACATGAGGACAGCTTTTTGACCCATCAGAGATGCATTAAAAATATATGATGCAGGCATAGAACGGCATAAAACAGCGTGTCAATACGCAACGTTTTCCTTACCAAAACATCTATATATGTTTGTACTTTTCTGCAGATAATTCTGAAGAGTTGCGAAAGACTTGCAGTGAACAAAGCAATAGTTTTTCTTGGTTTGAATCCAATTCACCTGACGTTTTTCAACTGCTTTAAATTTGTTTAAAAATACTAATTTACCAATTGATGAAATGCTGGAAGAAAGATGATTTTTTTTTTTTTTCCCTCTCTCCTACCCCTACACCCTCTCGTTTGTTTTTAGACTTCTCGCACTGTTCGTAGTTGGAGGCTGCTTCCTTTATATCCTCAAATTACATTTTGGCCCTGAAGAATGTGACAGAACAAAAATGCCGTATGTAGACCTCGATCGTGTAAGGGTTGGTATTTTTTTAGTGTGTGTTTTTTTTTTTTTTAACTTGGCTTAAAAAAAGTTATTAATTGACAAAATAAGAGTTATAAGGGTCTCTAACAAAGAACTAGAATACTGAAATTATCCTGTGAGGGGAAAAATATATTTTGCTTCATTTCATGCTGTAGAACTTTTGGGTTTTGTTCTTGTGGAGTGACAACAGAAGTGCATAGAGAAACTGGATTTTAGAGGTAAAATGATATAAGTGTGACAGTTAAGAATAACATTTGAAATGGGCATGTCATCACACTGTCATGTCAGTGCAGATGGCACTAGTGATCAGAAAATTGATGCAAATGAAAAGTAACATATTTAAAAAAAAAAAAAATAATCCCCAAACCCAACACATTAAACCAAAGGTTTATTTTTACATAGGCCAGTTCCCCAGTCTGCTTTGCCTTCTGTTTGCTCAGATGTTTTTTGAATCACAGGGCAAATGTGCAGGATGGTGCAGCTCTTGGTTCATTTATTTAAGGTAGCAGCTACTTACTTCAATTACAGTTTTGCATGTGGCTTTTAAGCTGGTGTAACAGATGCCAATAACGCTTTCTCTTAATGCTTGCTGACATTTCTTTCTTTGCCATTTAACCTGTGTGCTCTTTGTAACAGCACTACCTTGGCTTAGAGTTATTACATTTCTGTCTTTGAATGTCTTAACAGTAAGACACAACTTAAAGCAGAAGCTCTGATTTAAGATAGTCTCATCTTAGCTTCACTGCATGTTCATCCTCTCCCACCTTCAGTGCATATTTTTCCCTTTCTGAGCCTCTTTGTCTCCCCTTTTTTTTCTCCTTTGACTTAATTATTTTCTCAATAACATATTCTTGATTCCAAGCAAACTTAAAGACTGCATGGACTGTTTATTGCTGTCTTATGATTCATTTTGTTTGTGTTAGATGCAGGATGAGGAAATAGCATTGCTCTTTCTCTAGTTAGATAGTAGCTGATTGCAAATGATTTGAGGCAGTTGTCAAGTGATAGGCATTAATTTTTACTCATAGAATGCATGACTGTCAGCTTTAAAAAATGAGGCTCTCAGATGCACTGACTCTTGCTGGCAAAATACAGCATGAAGTTGCACAATTGTGCTTTGCCCAGGAAGAAGTGCGGTGTTTATGCCCAGACTTGCAGAAACCTTTCTAATGGTGGCAGAGGCATTTCTGTGGAACAATCTTCTTTTTTTTTTTTTTTTTTTTTTTTAAAAAAAAAAAAACAAACCCAAAAAACACAACTTCCCTCCTATGCACCCAGGTACACACTTCCGTTTCCTTAATGGTACAGAAGGGGAACTGAGTTAGCACTAAACTTGAATCTTGATTCTCCGACTCCCATGTTTGCTTGTGTATTTTTCTTTTATTACAGTGGAAGAAAGATCAGCAGAGTTGTGTCGGGGAAGAGAATATGCAAAAAGATTTTATTTTAACTGATAACACCTATTTGCTATTTCTCTTCTTGCTTATATTAGATATTGCTTTGCTACTACAGCTTTCTAAAAAATGTACATTAATAGTTTGTGGGATTTTTTTAATGAGATGCATCAATGTGTAGTTTTATCTGACAGCTTAATCTTTTCTTGCAATATGGAACTGTAATCTTCTATTTTGGCAACTAGTCTGTAAAAGAAGACTGGAAACACCCCTACCTTGCACTCTTTTTAAAGTTTTGTTTTAGTCATTAGCAATACGACTTTAGCAATACTTCTGGAAGAAGTGTTGCTTCATTTTGATTAGTAAGCAAGTCCAGCCTGCCATTTCACAGAACTTTTAGCCAGTGGATGTGTCTTTAGTAAAATCTTACTGCAGGCAGAACTGGTGTCATGTATTTGAGCAGCAGAGTAGAATTCCGCTTGCTGGCTTACTGCTGAATTAGATGGGTAAAAGCACATTTAGGTTTTTTAATCTATTTTTGTAAGTAACAGTACATATGTTCTCAAATGGCTTATTTTCACTTATCTCTTTTAGTAGCCTAATTTGTTCTTTAGAAAAGCTCCTATCCAGACTTAAGCGATTGGAGGGAGAGACATTCCTTTGCAGGTTTTCACCCTGCACTGGTTAGTATCTGTGTTCGAGTGAATGCTTTAAAATGTCTTGAATTTCCATGTTTAAGCTTTCTTTATAAACTGTTTGCTAAACTGCCAGTGGTCAACCGGTGGGTTGCGTTAAGAGGGCTTTGTGTGTTCCTGAAGCTTGCTTTCCTGACTGAAATCATGTATGTTTTATTTTAGAGAGCACAACAGTATGCCAGCGCTGCATTGCAGGAAGAGTGCCGGCCTTCTTATGTGAAGAAAGAAATGAGGAAGTTATTTGCGGAGAAGTATAGCATGGACATATCTCCCTTCATAAGAAAAAATATAAATGAAGATGAAGGCTTATTTAAATATGAACCTCCTTTTGGGTTCCACAAGTTCTTTGATAAGCTTAAAAATCTGCTTGAACTCTTACCTGAGTATGATTTACCAGAATATTTGGAGTCAAAACACTGTAAGCGTTGTGTTGTTGTTGGCAGTGGTGGAATTCTTCATGGGTCAGAGCTGGGTCACTTATTGAATAAGTTTGATATTGTTATAAGGTATGTATTCTCCATTTAAGGATTCCAACTACTTTCACTTTACTTTATGAGCCAACTTTTGGTTTTTAAGGGGAAAGTATCTCCAACATTTATGCAACTTATAAGACTATTTCTGAAATTGTTTTTGAGAAATTTACTTGGGACTTGATGGAATTTGAAGTCTTGTGAACATGACAATTTATTTTGCTCCTAAGACAGGAATTCGGTGTGGACTTCAGATACAAGAAAAACATGGGCGGAAAGGAGATAGGAACCAGGGAAATCATAGACAAGTAGACAATGCTGTTTTTATCCATGTTTATGTTTAAGCTTTCAGAGGTAGGCTTTAGGACTCACCTCTACCTTTTTCCCCTTGGTTAGTTGGGAGGCTTATTTGAAGGATTTTTTTTTATAACAGCTGTTTCAAACAATAAAAATTAATTGGTGTTTCAGTACGCAGTTTGCTTACACAGTGTATAGCATGTTTGTCTTTCCTTATCTTTACAAGATCAGTACATGCTTTTTATGATTACCCATGTTTTCTAATGTCTGAGTTAAACGAATACATGCTCTGTATTCGTGCTTCTGACCATTACTGTTTGAACTCTCCTTTGTATTTTGAATTGGGTGAAGTCACAAACACATTTAATATAAGCATTTTCCCAAATTGCTTTGTAAACTAAGACTTGCTTCTCTTAAAAAGAGAAGACTTGATACAGTGTGTTAATAGCTCTTATGCAAAGGTAAATGAACCCCTTAGCGTGGGGAGGGGCAGAGAACTTGCATTAACAGTTCTCTGAAATTAGGGCTGGCAGCACAAAGGTGACTTTTTTGTTGATGTAGAAAAGTTTGTGAGACTTACCGTGTTCTGCAGAGCTGATGGAGATGGATGCTGCTGCTGTTGTCAGCAGTGTGCTAGCATCTGAAATTTTTGGTGAGGTGGAATGATTTGAACCCACAGGATACACTACATAGCATTGAAGGGATAATTTTAATGCCTTTCTGTGTGTGATACTCGTGTGTGTGTGTGTGTGTGTATATTTTAAAAAAGGTAATGCAGGCAACTTCCTCTGTTTTCTTTCCCTTCCTTTTTTAAGCCTCTCTTGAGTTGGCACAAGGCAATGAATATGAAATTCCTCAATGTTGTTTTAAGTTACTTTTCTATTCAAGCTTTTCTTTTTGAAGTTTGGCACTTGTGCCAGTTAATCCAGAAATAGAATTGGCTTCCTCTCAAAGGTAAGGGATTGATGAGTGTGTGAGGCAAGGAACATGGAGATACTGAGAAAATGCTATGCTCTGCTCTGTTAAAAATCTATGGGCCATAAACAAGTTCTTTGCTTAGTGTCTGATTTTTTTAATGAGATTGTAACCCATGCTTATAAAATACAGTTTCTCTCCATTGTGGTTTCTTTTTTTTTTTGTTAGGTTAAATGATGCACCGGTTCAAGGATACACAGATCATGTTGGTAACAAAACTACTATACGGATGACTTACCCAGAAGGAGCCCCGCTTTCTGAACACGAGTATCCTCCTGGTAGCTTGTTTGTGGCTGTTTTGTTTAAAAGTGTTGATTTCAATTGGCTTCAAGCAATGGTAAAAAATGAAACCTTGGTATGTAATGTGGCAGTGTTATGTAACTTTTTTGTTTGTTTTTTTTCTTTCCTAATGCTTAAGAAGCTGGCTCATCTGTTTCTTCCTATTTTATTATACTGAGGATATTTTTACAGTTGGTACCAGCATTCATATTGAAGCCCCATGCTGACAGTAACACATTTTCCCTGCAGATATTTGTGGTTTGCCCCAAGCTATATGACATATTAAGTGTCTACTAAAGTGGAATTCATTTCACGATAGGTTTAAATGACTTGTTCAAGTCTGCAGAGCCTGAAATAGAGATGAGATTTCTGGATGCTAGTCCGTATTTTTTTTTTTAACAGCTAAAGTCTGCTGCTACAATAGGCATACCTGCAGTTAATGTGGAACTGGAGCATTGCAGTTTTTAGTTCACGTTTGTGTGTGGTTCAAAAATTAAGAGGTTGTTTATTTCTCACTGAGTATTTAAAGAAGTGCAGAGATTCCTAAGGAATTAATAGAAAGGCACCATGTTTCCAAACTCTCTTTAAATTGGTGGTTTTCGCCTCTTTCAGTTTGCTGGCAGGTAATTTCTGCAAGTTGAAAACCAGTAGCTAGGTTTCTCTGGCCACAGATTGAAAACAAGTTCTCTAAACTATTGACAGAGATTTAGAAGAAAGCCTGACAAGTTTTTTAACAATTTGACACATACTCGTTTAGGTACTCCAAGTTCCCTTAATTCTGTGATTTTTACAACATAAGAGCATATGGAAGGTCTGTTTAATATTGACCATGACTGTCTACTACTGCTTCAGTCCAGAGAGTGTGTACAGGGATATTGCCTTGTTTTGAATAATCTGAGTATATTTTGTAGAGGGGAGACTTTATTGAATAATGCATGGATCTCCACAGATTTAAGAAATTCTGCTCCCTAATTATTTTATTTTTTTATTTATTACCAGGGTCAAGACAATGTTAGTCTATGACCTTCCCTGCAGCAATGTGGTAATTTTGATGACCAGCAGCTTTCTAACTTGAGTTGAATCCCTAACAACTTACTTGTTTTACAAGCTACATGGCTATTTCATGTTTTAAGGTTTGGTTTTGAGGAATGACTAGTACAAGGATGTCTTTCTGTATTAAAATTTGGTTTTGGGGGATTGAAAGAGTGATTGCTTTTTGGCATCTGCAACATCCTCTGTGAGTGAGTTACAAGATAGAAGTATATGCTTTATGAAAAGACTACCTTTTCTTGTTTTGCGTGACTTAGGAGGAGATCTGCTCATTCCCACCTTCTTCCTTGCTCTGGTGTGTTTGCTGGTGCAGAGAACCAGTTTTGGGAACTGACCTGGGAATGGACATATTGGACAGAGTCCACTGAAGGGCCATGAAGATGCTTAAGGGACTGGAGCATCTCTCCTATGAGGAAAGGCTGAGAGAGATGGGAGTGTTTAACCTAGAGAAGTGAAGGCTCAAGGGTGCAAAGAGAACAGAGCCAGGCTATTTTCAATGGTCCCCAGTGACAGGGCCAGAGGCAGCGGGCATAAACTCAACATCAGGTCCCTCTGAACATCAGGAAACACTTTTTTTACTGTGGGTGTGACTGAGCACTGGCACAGGTTGCCCAGGGAGGTTGTGGAGTCTCCATCTGTGGAGATTTTCAGAAGTCATTTGGATATGGTCCTGGCCAACCAGCTCTAGGTGTCCCTGCTTGAGCAGGGTTATTGGACCGCTTGACCTCCCGAGGTCCCTTCTAACCTCAACCGCTCTGTGATTCTGTGAAGTGAAAATACACTTTTCCTTTCAAATAGTAGGCTTTCAGTTGGTTCAGCTGTCTGTGCAGGCATTGGTACTTTAGTAAACTCGTTCAGAGCACAGGTGGGAAGATGGGACCATGGCAACCTGAATTTGATCAGTTTAAGCTGCTGTGGAGCTGTATGTTAGGGTCGCAATAAGCCTGTTTAAAAAAATATAGGCGTATCTTGCAGCTATGTCAGTCATTTGCTTAGTATTAGGCATTATATGGAAAGATTTGTAAAATTAGGCTGATTTGGTATTGTTTTTTCCACTAACATGCATCTAATTGATTGCAAGTGGCATGAGATCAGAATCTGGCTTTGAGTCTTAAGTATAATCCTCTTCTGAAGTGTTACATTTATCACTAGGTGGGTGCTGTCAAACAAAAGCTGCTCACTTCAAAGCCTGAGCAAAATTTTTTTAAAACCAGTGCTTCAGTACGCCTGGTTAATGGTCGTGGAAAACTCTGGGTCCTTTTCCTATTTCTTTAAATACTGCTGCCCGCTCAGCTGTGCTGGGGAAGGTCCAAGGAACCTGGAGATGCTAGTGGATATCTTGACAGATTAAATACAAAGTGCAGTCAAATATTCAGAATAAACAACTTTTCCCTCTGTTGTCCTCTCTGCAATTCCAAGTACTTTGAAGGTTTTTCCTCTTTTGGGTGGTCGTTTGAGCCGCACACTGGTATTCCTGAACCACCTTAGCTGTAGACTGTTTCCTGAATTTCTCAGAATCACTGATGAATTCTATAACTTGTGTACCGTGCCTACCATACACTTTGCAGTTTCAGAGTTTGCCTTTGCTGAACTATTTTTTTTTTTTTTCTTTCTCTTAGCCTCTGTGGGTGCGACTCTTCTTTTGGAAGGAGGTTGCTGAGAAAATTCCTTTCACGTCAAAGCAGTTTCGGATTCTGAATCCAGTCATCATCAAAGAGACAGCTTTGGACATTTTACAGTTCCCTGAACCTCGATCAAAATTCTGGGGTTGGGATAAGGTGAGAAGGAGACTATCAAATAAAAAGTAAAATAAGAAACTGAATGCAGTTTTGGGCTCTTCCTTCAGTATAGTTTCTCTCTGCAGTTTCAGAGCTGGTCTCAAGTAATAGGGAAATTAATGTGCTCTCAAAAAGCCTCTGGTATTTTCCTGTGTAAAATCAAAATAGGATTTCAGCTCACCTTCTTAGATGAGGTGGTGTGCCTCTGCATGCTGACGTGAAATGGCCTGTTTTACAGAGCACTCAGCTCAGTGAGACACAAATTCCATCCTGTACAGTGTGTTCACTCACACATCATTCAGAATATTCAAATATGCGCATTTGATGTATGTTAAGCATGTTAAGAGCAGTCCTGTTAAGTCAAGCCAGCAATCAGCTATAGACAGATGTGTCTCCAGCTGCAGGGAAAGCAGAGAGAGCATGGAAACCAGGCCAGCGTACAGCAACCTGCCAACTGTTGGAATTGCTGTGTATGCCAGCGTGCTCAGTAGCAACGGATGGGTATATCCTCTTTCTATGTCCTTTGCTCCAGCAATAGTATGGAGTGATGAATTGCCCACTTCGATTACACACTGCATTTTTGTTACTTTAATTTATTTTTTTTGAGAAATTGGATGTCACTAGTTCTCTTGAACATGAAAAATACTGAATAAGGATCGTCTCTTTACCTTTTGTGTGACAGCATTTGATGGTAGCATTATTGCACAAATGTTTGAAGGATCTTCTCACATTTACTTTTAAAAATAATGTAATATACCAGGCTGTATGTCTTTTAGTTGTATCATAGTATACTTGCCTTTTTCACGAGTTGTTCAGTGAAAAGTCATATTCTGAAGAATACTGTTGGAGAGCCTGTTGCTCAAGACTGAAGTAAGCCTACATCAAGAAATGTCAAGTTTAACTGTATGTCAGGAGTTGTTTGAGTGTTTAGAGTGAGGGTTCACTTGTAGGTTAACTACATAGTAAAAGGGCGTCTTGACTTCACAGAAGAAACATTAGTGTTGACAGCCAAAAGTCTTGTTATAGGCAAATACTCAAGTTGTATTAGTATTTGGCCCTGAAGATTTTAGTTTTACTTGGTCACTTAATTGATTTTTAAGTTGTAATTGATTGTTTAATAACTTCAGTTTTGAGTGAGGAGAGGGAATAGACAACACCTTTAAAATTTGTAAAGTGTCTTATAAAACTGGCAAAGGAAAATATATTTGAATTCAGCAGGCTTCTTTTTTCTGCCTTTTTAGAATGTACCTACAATTGGTGTGACAGCAGTTGTTCTGGCCACACATTTATGTGATGAAGTGAGTTTAGCAGGATTTGGATATGACCTCGATCAGCCCAGCACACCTTTGCACTACTACAACAACCTCTGCATGGCTGCCATGAACGGACAAACTATGCACAATGTGACAAGCGAAACAAAATTCCTACAAAAACTGATCAAAGAAAAAGTTGTCAAAGACCTCACTGGTGGGATACATTGTGAATTCTGCAGCAAAGACAGCTAGTGATTGAAGTGCGGCATGGTTTGGATTTGTTACATTTCCAGAGATTCAGCTGGAACAACCTTTTCACTGTCTTAAGTTGTTCTTTAAAGTGTGTGTAGAATGGATGTGGAATCTCTGCTGCATTTTTTAATGTCAAGTTCAATTTCTTGGACTTTTAAATTTATTTTGATGTCAGATTTTACTTTGCACATTTTTGTGGATAACTATGTAAATACAACTTGGGAGTTGAAAGAGATTAATTTAAAATATTTAATATTTTAAGTTGTTGGAAGAAAAGCAGAGTTTTTGTTTTCAGATGTATATGGTACGCACAATGCTAGCCTGAATTGTCTAACAGCATACAAGAGTTATTTTCCACTGAACGACTGTCTTTATTGATCCAGTTCTTGGTGTATGACTCCTTTTCATGCATGCCATGAAAAGAAAGGTGTATGCTTCTCAAGTCTTTCATTTCTTGCAACTTGAGTGTTGTGTTTCCCCGCCAAAGATTTATATTCTCCTTTTTTTGTGCGAATATTTTTTTGGGGGATGGAGGAGGAATGTGGGGGTGGAGGTGAAGGAAACTGTTGTGGCAATATCTGAACAGTAAGTAGTTTGGGGTTCATGTTTGATATTAAAATCATTGATGCATTAATGTATTTGGTTAGAATCCTGCTTTATCCTGAGACACATTTGGGCCTAGGATACACTGTAAGAGGATTTTGTCTGTAGCAGACTTCCACCTGAATCGGATATTTTTTAATTTCTCTTCCTTAAGACCCAGATAAATGTTTTGAACTAGTTGATTTGCAGCAGAGTTCAGCTACCCAAAATAAAGAAGTGGCATTACTACAAAGTCACACCCCCCGCCCCCTCCAATTTTTTTTTTTTTTGAGTGACTTGAGAATTGTTGGTTCTATAAAACACTGGTTTGTATAAATCTTCCATTTAGCAATAACAGAAACCGTGGCTAGGCTAAAATTTCTGTTGGTTTACTTTATGGTCCTTACGTAACGAATTACAGATATCGTAACCTTAGTAGTTTACAGCGATGATAACCCATATGAACTCTAGTGTTGGCTGTTTAATTGAAGGGAGAGTTAGAGTTGTTGGTTTTCCTGGATCAGCTGTTAAGTCAGCAATTGAGTGGGTGTGTATAAGTAGTAGTATGATCTAGTAGCCAGCTAGGTAACTGCTGAAAGCAGCATACTTTAAACAAACTATAGATATATATTCTTGTGACTGGAAATCAGTGCATTGCAAAGAAACTGGACTGTGCAGATCTGCAGGCAGGTTTAGGTGTTCATTTTCGTTTTTTTACTGGCAGAGTAGTAGGTATGACTGTTTGCACTGAGTAATGTTGTTACTCAAAGCTACAATATGAACAGTGCTTTCTTTGGGAATGAAAGCTTGTTGGCAAATTGATCAAAGGTTGGCCCAGAAACATTGTTCGTAGTCATGGACTCTCCACGTGGTGAACATTCCTACTTGTTTTTTGTTATGGGCAGAGATATTAATGTAGTTGTAGTTTTAAATTTTCAAAATACTAATGTGGGAAAGAAAAATTAGTGTGGTTTTATTTTTTGGTTTGTTTTTTGTTTGTTTGGGTTTTTTCCCCATGGAGAGAAGATTTAATGAATGATAATGTTAGAATGCAGGAGCAGCAGACTAATTCTGGCCGTTATACTAATAGGCAATAAAATGGCATCAGATCATAAAGCATAACTCTGAAGAAAGTTGGGGACCTAATATTTCATAAGTCCCACGTACCTGTATGTTCTTGACAGCCAGTTGTGGATGGTGAGCAGATTCGAAAATCAGATTTTCGTCTCTGGCACTGTTTGTGTTTATAGCAATAATATTAATCAAACTTCTCCTCTGTGAAACACATTAATTTTTGTACTAGCAATAAATTTCTAGTCTATGTTTTTCTTGTAAGTATAATAATTATATTGTTTAATTTAAAAATATTTCATGTTTGAAGAGTTTTATACAGATAGTCTTTTAGTTAATATATTAAAATATGCTAATTATTTTCTCCTGGTATTAAACTGGAAGCAAAATACCTTAATTTAATTTGGTATTAGTGAAATTTTGGAAGAGTTCAAAACGTGTGTGTTGGGAGGACATCCTGAATACACCAAAAGTATGTGTTTCGGAGCACTTGGTCCCTCACCAGTTTGCTTTATTCAGTAGCTTAAAAATAATCAGTTGATTAATGTAAATGCCAATAGCTTTTCCGAGATGCTGTATTTACTGTCAAATTCTCAAATTATGTTGATGTAGGATTAGATTGTTTTCCCACCAGTTTTATGGGTTGTGATAAAACATTGTTCTCCGTGGTAGTGTATACTGCATTGCATACGCCTGCACAGACTCGACCATCCGTGAAATGGCAGCAAAGTTCGGGTTGCAAAAAGCAATAAACTGATGAAACCACTTTCTACTTATGCATTTGTCTGACAATTTGCAATTTGTTCTGCCTCCTTTGTTAAGGATTTTGCATGTCTTACTGGTCCAGTTCCAATCGAAAGTATTGATGCAACCCCAGGCACTCAAGAAGAGGGGATTTAGTGGCTGATGATAAATAGTTCTCTCTCATTACATTTATGCCTTTTGAATACTTGTCAGTGGAGTTTTAGCTCTTTGGTGCCTGGAAGAGAGGATCCATCTCAACACTGACCATATCATAGGCTTCCAGGATTTTGAAGTCAATGTGGATGAGAATATTTCAGACTAAGTTATAGTACTGGCCTTAAATTCAAGGGTCTGTGTCCTTCCATGGTGGAGACAGACTGCAGCTTCTGGTCTGTGCTTCAGTCTTGCTGGAGGTGCGATAAGAACAAAAGCTGTGTGTGTCTGTGTGCTGCTGTGTCGCAGATCTTACATTTTGCAAAGAATCTGCATCATCCCTTGTAGATATGCTTCAGTGGTGTTTGTTTAAAAAGTCAACAAAGAATTTGGGAGCTGTAATAAAGCCATTGTGCTCCACATCAGAATTTATCTTTGTAACTCTCTTGTCTGTGTAGGAGCTATCACACTTATGTATGTGTCTGACCTGTTCTGATGCTCAAAAGAGATGAACAACATACATACTTTGGCTAGATCAGATTTGTTCAAACAAATGGAAACTTTGAATTGCCAAGTGTGAATTTATGGTGCTGTTTTTCAAGTGTTTATAAGACTCCTGCTCCCAGATGGTTTCTCTTCAGCTGGGGACAAACTGATGTCACCTTGGAAAAGTGCCACAAGTAAGGTTACAATTTGTTTGTTATGGTACCCCCGAATGTGTGCCAGAGTTGTGTAATGAGACATATAGAGCCACTTGACTGCAGAGTGGGGCAGTGCTGAAAAGCATGTTTGTGATCTGTGGTCAGTGACCAGTTGACATTGGAACTGGATATTGAGCTCATAGGGTCACCTGTTGAGATGCTGATGAGAAACTGAAGAGCAGTTCAGCCTCTTCAGCAGATGGACATGTGCTGGTAGATTCAGGTCTCGTGCTGCAGTTGAAATTCCAGCAGGAGATGGGAGGGGATCAGTGGAGGCAGCTGTGTGGCATGAATGTGATCTTTTTGCCAGTTGCCAAGGGCAGATGAAGGAAAAGCTCATGCACCTCTGTTAAGACTGGCACAGATGTGATGTTGTGACTTCCTTCCTTCAACCTGCCAGCAGCAAATACCTGATTTTACCAGCACCTGGGTCTTGCCCTCTGAAATTTTTGTTGCCTGGGAAGGCTCTTGCCTTTCCTAATTTCAAAAGTAACTAAGGTGATGGCTGTTTTATTATTAAACAAATCCAGGATTTACATGCTGACAAATGAACATTTGTTGCTGTTATCTAAAATGACGGCTCTGTTTCCCTGGAAAGCACAACCTTGCCTGTGTGTTATAAACAAAAAGTCCAGCAAAATCTTGCCTCTTAGGATTGAGATAATTACCAACTCCAGAAAAACTGGAGAATATGATGACGTTTAAAAATGCTGTTTATGAAAAGCTAGGTGCTGTTGAAGAAACCATTGCCTGAAGTGACATATGACCAGATGGAAACATGAATTAAAGGATGAAGGGGTGTGAACACGGACGGCTGAGCGCTGCTGTGAAATGCAACATCTTTGTTCTGCAGCCACCTAACTCTGGAAGTGTTCACCTTCTTGCAGCAGCACAGGTCTTGACCTGAAAGTTCCAAAGCTCTAGGAGTTATGTTTGTAGACAAACGTAGGTACACCCTGGTCTCAGCAGGTTTGAGTGGTTCAGCATCAGCCTTGCCCCATGTCTCATGAGATGTTGGAAGGTAGGCGACCTGCTCATCAAGTCCCTGAGGGGCTTGGTCACACCACACCTAAAACTCCCTGTGTGTCTAATTGCCTTGCTTTCCTTGCTACAAGCAGAGAGTTCAGGGTTCTCTGCCTCCTTGGCTGTTTTCTTTGTTTTCCCTGAAACAACCCTGTGAGCAGGGACTGAAGCACCCACCCACATGCCCACTGGTGGTGTGGATCCCAAACTTGGGTATCAAGTGCCTGCGTTTCAGCATGTCCCAAGCCAAAGGGTATGTGTGTTGCAAGGTCAGCTCTCTTGCTGTTTGACCAACTGTTTAACTGTTTGTTATAGTTGCCATCCTGGAAACATGGTGGGATGACTCGCATGGCTGGAGTGCTGCAATGGATGGATATAAACTCTTCAGAAGGGATAGGCAACGAAGGAGAGGCGGTTGGGTAGCCCTGTATGTTAGGGAGTGTTTTGATAGTCTCGAGCTTAGTGATGGTGATGATCCGATTGAGTGTTCATGGGTAAGAATCAGGGGGAAGGCCAACAAGGCAGATACTATGGTGGGGGTCTGATACAGACTGCCCAACCATCATGAAGAGGCAGACAAAATATTCTATAAACAGCTGGGAGAAGTCTCAATCGCTAGCTGTTGTTCTCATGGGGGACTTCAACTTATCAGGTGTCAGCTGGAAATAGAATACAGCAGAGAGGAAACAGTCTAAGAGGTTCCTGGAGTGTGTGGAACATCCTGACACAGCTGGTGAGTAAGCCAACACGGGAAGGCGCTGTGCTAGATCTGGTGTTTGTGAACAGAG